CAAGTGGAGCCTTGTAGTTCCTCTCCTCCCCCCCCCCCAAAAAAAATTAGGCATGCTTATTTCACCATATAAGTTCTACATTTAAAGGCCTCTATCTTATTGATAGGCATCTGAAGGCAGCCCTGTTTAGGGAAGCTTTTAATGTTTGATTTCTTACAGTATTTTAATACTTTTTTGGAAGCCGCCCAGAGTGGCTGGGGAAGCCCAGCCAGATGGGTGGGGTATAAATAATAAATTATTATTATTATTATTATTATTATTATTATTATTATTATTATTATTATTGCTTTGCCTAATTGGTCCCAATCTGTTGCCCTCCATATTTTGCTGTAATACAAGTCCCATCGTATGGCTGGGATTCATGGGAATTGTAGTTCAACGACATCTGGAGGCTACTGGACTAGGTTAGGAGGCTGAAATGTGGCTGCCATCCAGCGCTGTACTAGTTTAAGAGAAGACCCTTTTGCTTGGGTGCAGCCCTCAGTTCTTTGACGCCAGTTTTTTATATCCCAATTCCTCCTTGCTATTGAACTCAGTGGACCGTGCTTGCTTTTGCTCGCTTCTGTCTAATAGATATTTTAAAAGTTGTTTTAAATTGAAACGTGTTCATTGACATCAGTCTATGCACATTCTGCACCCCCCGGTCATATGAAAAGATTCCTGCGCAGATTTATAGGGAGTATGTAAATTGCTCTACTTTAATTTTAGGAAAGTACTTGAAAATGGCAGACATCATTGTTCCGTGTCAAGTGTGATAGAACAGTTTTTTATTGAAACTGCTAGGGAATTTTTGAGCACAGTTGAGCATTAAATAGGTCTTAAAGTTTTGAGCCCTGTAGTGCTGTTCAATATGTGTTATCTACAGATAACCACCTCTAAATTATTTTCATGTTTAGCATATGAAAGCCGGTATGTCTTAGCACTACCTTTCTAATGAGCTAGCATGACTTGGGATGCACTTTAAATTTGAGGGAAGGGGCTGGCTTTTTTTAATAGCGAATGCCAATGGAACCTGCAACAAAATGTTGCAGTCCATACAGAACTCCCTGTTCAAGATTCCAGTCAATCCATTCCATTTCCCCTCCACTTTTCTGCCCTCAGACCCCCAACTGATCAGCATTCCATTGTCATTGAGCATGCTCAGTCCTCATTGGGCTGTTTGTGATTTTTTGCCCTCCCTCCGTGTGGGTTTTTCCCTTCACCAATTTCTTGTAGCTCTGAGAACCTCAGCATTCGTCAAAACCAGTTGATCATTCTTTGTGGATAGTGCTGTTTTGGCTACATAAGAATTCACACTCGGAGATAAAGATTGCTGTTGTTAAATATCAGGGGCAGCCGACATGGTGTCCTACAAATATTGTTAGACTCCAACTCCTATCAGCCAGCATGGATAGTGTTCAGGATTGATGGGCGTCATAGTCCAGTAACAACTTGAGGGCTCCCTGTTGCCGCCACCTGGTATATATTTTGATATGGTCTTAGTGGTTTGTCACAGTTTCTGGATCCATCAGGAACACTCAGCCTGGCAGAAGCTTCTCCATAATATCTTCAAACAATTTGATTATAAGCATGGTGCTTTTGAGGTATCTAAATAATCTTACAGGGCTTGATTCAGGTTGATATATTTTCAGAACCTGGCTTCCGTCTTGGGCGCATTCCTAGTGACATGTTGACAGACCTTGATATGGAACCCAAAATGGCCCTGTGTAGATGGAAGCTGGCTTGGTTCTTTATGGCAGAGCGCCCTAAGATGTCCCTTCCTAGCCCCCAAAAGGGACCCTGCAGTTCCTAGAGCTAACATGTCCTACAAGACACAGCCAGGGTATAGGACAGGCACAGGCAAACTCATCCCTGACCATTGGTCCTGTTAGCTAGGGATGGTTGGAGTTGTAGTCCCAAAACATCTGGAGGGCCGAGTTTGCATGTGCCTGGTATAGGACAATAAGAGGTTCAGACTAGACACAAGGCAAGGTGGGGAAAGGTTCAGGTTTGAGAGTTGTTAGGAAACCCCCTATTGCCCACACAGAGCTATAGTTCACATTGCGGTTTAAGTGTCAATCCCTCTTCCCAGGGCACTCTGGGAGCTGTAGCTCTGTGGGGGAATTGGGGTCTCCTAGCAGCTCTCAGGGGCCTTAACAAACTGCACATCTCATAATTCATGACAAAGTGGTATGATCCTGCTTTAAATGCATAGTGAAGATAGGGCCTTACTTGCAAGGCTAATGTTTATGCTGCTTAAATGGAATTATGTTGTCTGCAACATTGTTCTTCAGTAGATATTTAATTTATTTAGCACATTTGTGTCTATTTGAAATATTTCTGCCCTGCCTTTTCTTCAGATAGAATCCACGTAGCCCCCCCCCCATTTCAGGTTTCCGCAACGTTCTCAAAGTGAGTACCAGTAAAAACAATTTCTAAACAATAATACTATAAATCATAATAAATACCAGGATGAAAGGAGGGGAAATCTAAAAAACGCAGAGATGGCCTGGAAGCCAATACTACATAGAACAGCAGATTAAAACCATTCATTGTGAAAGTAAGAGTCACTATTTGGTAAAAGCCATTATTAAAATGCCTGGATAAATTGAGCAGTTTCTACTACATGATGCCTGACTCTTAGAAATGGGGATATCTGTGATTGCGTTTAGACATATCTTGCCTTAATATGCTGATATATGAACGATCCATTTTTCCTGTGCACAAAGCCCCTTGGCACCTCTTTTTGCACAAGGCAAACCAAGAAGTCTTCCATGTAGTTCTCCATCTCATCCAAAAAGGAAACATTAATATCTTCTAAAGAAACCAGGCTATTAAATCATGGTTTGAAGTTGGGTTGCTGTTATGGCTTTTTCTGAAACTATTAACCATTGTTTCCTGGCTTGGATGAAATGGGAAACAATAGTTAATTGAAAACTTTCCAGTTTGCCAGCCTACGCAAAGAGAGGAGACAGTTGTTTTTGTGGACAAAAGGTTTGTTCATATCTGAGATTATTAATGAGATAGGTTCATTTAAACTCCCCTTATGGAAATCATTCGACAAAGGGTGTCATGCTCTCTCTGGTTGTGGGCCCAGTTGTAGTAAGACAGAGTTCATCAGGGTTCCTGTTGCATAGGAAGCAATAAATGACATGACAACCTTTTTGGGATCGAAATGGCCACAACTTTATTGATTGCAGATGCAAGAAAGCTTTGGCTTAGGCATTGGATATGTATACTGGTTGCTGGATGACAACTTCATCAGGGTCAGTCTTGGGTTAAGCATCCCCACGTGACACATATCAAATACAGGTGACCCATGTTTTTGTTGTTTAGTCATGTCCGACTCTTCCTGACCCCATGGACCAGAGCACGCCAGGCACTCCTGTCTTCCACTGCCTCCTGCAGTTTGGTCAAACTCATGTTTGTAGCTTCGAGAACACTGTCCAACCATCTTGTCCTCTGTCGTCCCCTTCTCCTTGTGCCCTCCATCTTTCCCAACATCAGGGTCTTTTCCAGGGAGTCTTCTCTTCTCATGAGGTGGCCAAAGTAGTGGAGCCTCAGCTTCAGGATCTGTCCTTCCAGTGAGCACTCAGGGCTGATTTCCTTCAGAATGGATATGTTTGATCTTCTTGCAGTCCATGGGACTCTCAAGAGTCCCCTCCAGCACCATAATTCAGAATCATAAATTCTCTGGCAATCAGCCTTCTTTATGCAGGTGACCCATACAGAATGCCAATTGGGGAGTTCTATGGCCTGTTAGCCCTTGTCTGGACATACAGACAAACCCCTTTACCATGGGGTACCCTGATGCTTTGTTCCTGGGGAGAGAGGGTAAGTCTCCTCCCCCGCCACCTTAGACTAAAGATGCAACCCAACTGCTTTTCCCGCCAACAAGCTGTGACAGTTGCTTGGAGGTAGGCAAAACCTCCAAACCAACCCAATTAGCTGCAGGCAAATTCCTCCCTGACCCTGAATAAGGCGACCAAGCCACTCCACAGCAAGGTCACACACGTGCACCACCTGCTTACCTTTAGGTGAGGACAAAATTATACAAGGCCGGAGGGTGGGATGTCTGATGCTGCTTGGAGGCCATGCAGCCAGCTTTTATGATTTGAAGATGGACCTGAGTGGAAGCAGGCTTACCGAGGTCTTGTCTCCAAATTCCCACCCTGCAGCCTGGGCTCTAATTGGCCAGTTTAAATTCAAAAGAGGTAGAGGAGTCCCATCACTCCCTGTGGCTAGCTGGGGTTGATGATGCCAGCCAGCCAGCCACACAGGAACTTTCCCCTTGCCCACAGCCGCACTGGGCCGCAGCTACCACTGCTGTCGAGAACGGCTATTGGTCTTTCTCACTTGCCTCGCTTCCAAGAATTTCCCAGGCACAAATCTTAATCCTTAGTAGATTTGTATGTGAATTAAGATATAAGACGGTTTCTATGAGAATTAAAACACGTGACTTGATAACATTTGTTGTTATATTTTTGAAGGTGTTGATGCCAACCGAAAGGTGGGTGAACTGCCCGACCAATGCTATGTGGTTAATTGTTTCTCTGTTGCACTGGTACAGAGAGAGGTGCTCAGGGACATTTTTAAAAAGGCAGTTTTAGACATAGCCCAACAAGAAACAGCATCCACATAATGGGAAAACAAATGACAGAAACAAGTATGTTTAATGTGTAATCTCTGCCAGTGTAAATTGGAACAGATGAGCTTGAATCACTTTTGCTAACAGCTCATCTATTTTATACATGGATTTGCTTGGCAATAATGTGTGTTAGGCTAAAAGTGACTACTATAATAATTTCTGTTGTATGCGATAATAATCTTTCCTGCTTTACTTCATTTTACTATTGTGCAAATAGTAAAGAAAAACGGTAGCAGTTCCCTGGAGTAAGGCTCCAAAGCCCAGATACCTTAACTATTCAAGGTGTTTACACCAAGCAGAGTTTTGATCAAATACCTGCATCACATTTCTAACAAGCAATTTTCTGTTGGATTTATTTTGTTTTATCTGCTAGATTTCGACTTCAGCGTGCCAGGCTCCATGAAGCTCCACAATCTTATTTCTAAGCTGAAGAAATGGATCAAAATTCTCGAGGCGAAAACAAAGCAGCTTCCCAAGTTCTTCCTCATAGAGGAAAAGTGCCGATTCCTGAGCAACTTCTCAGCCCAAACAGCTGAAGTGGAAATTCCTGGAGAGTTCCTTATGCCAAAGCCGACACATTATTACATCAAGATTGCACGGTAAATCCGGGGTTGGAAGCTAAGGCTTGGAAGTGTACTAGTTATACGTACCAGAACTTCTTGGGTTAGTTCCCGGCTAAGGTGCTGAACGTAGTTCACTAGTAGGACTAGGTAAAGGTAAAGGTACCTCTGACCATTAGGTCCAGTCGTGGCCGACTCTGGGGTTGCGGCGCTCATCTCACTTTACTGGCCGAGGGAGCCGGCGTACAGCTTCCGAGTCATGTGGCCAGCATGACTAAGCTGCTTCTGGTGAACCAGAGCAGCATACGGAAACACCCTTTACCTTCCCGCCAGAGTGGTACCTAATTATCTACTTGCACTTTGACGTGCTTTCGAACTGCTAGGTTGGCAGGAGCAGGGACTGAACAACGAGAGCTCACCCCGTCGCGGGGATTCGAACCGCCGACCTTCTGACCGGCAAGTCCTAGGCTCTGTGGTTTAACCCACAGTGCCGTTAGTCATAAATTAGCTTCAGTGATTTCCTGGGAACTTAAGTTCAACTAACGCGGTCTGGATCCAATCCAAAATTAACCTCTCCATTTTCCTGGGCTTCTCTGTTCTCCAGACACAACCATCTGGGGCCTGAAACAGTTTCTGCCACCATATTTGGTCGGGTTTACAGACGAATTCATGGAAGACGAGCAGGAGAGCCACGCCACACATCTAAAGCACATGACTCCCCCCAGAGAATCCTGGGAACTGTAGTTTCCTTCTCACAGATCTACAGTTCCCAACACCTTTAACGAACCACAGCAATGTGTGCTGCACAGGAATTTAAAGTGACACAGGCTGTACTCAAAGGCTTGTTATCTAAAGATAGATTACAAAAGAAAGTAAAAGGATAGCACCACACATCATCTCTCCTGTTGCCAGCTCCTAAGGGTGTGCTAACATTGTTTTACCCTAGTTTTTAGCTGATGTTTTTACCAAGAAGTTTTAACTGCAGCCTTAAGTGTTGATTTTGTTTGGATCTGTTGTTTTTTTGTTGCATTTATAAATATACACTCTTTTTCCCTATCCTGCTCAGAGAGATTTTAGGTTGAAAGGCAGAATACAAATCCCATAAATAAATAGAAAACACAGTGTAAACAAATAGCTACAGTTAACAGATCTAGCAAAAAAAAGTACAATTTTGCCTTATTCTCCCTGAGAAGTGTAATATTTCGGTTTTGGAGCATTTCTGTTTCCTGACAATTTCTTTTCCTTAGGAGGCAAAATTGCAGACTAACCTTTTTTCTTCCATGCATTGATTAAAATTTGGTGGATGCACCAAGGGTTGAACAAAATTGGCCTTCCCTGTCTTGAGCCATTAGTTTCCTACCTTTTTTCTTTTTTCTTTTCATTTCAAGGCCTGATTATCTACTTTGGTGTCTTGCCAGGGATTAGTCAGATGTTCCCAAGGGCTCCCAACAGCAGTGTGCATCTGCACGCTTGATTCTTTCCAAGGCGAGAGAAACTAAGCCTGCCAACAGGAAGGCATTCTGTCCTTTATAGAGTCCTGACTAACAAGCAACTACTTTCTGGTGTGTGGGAGTCAGTGTGCTGTTTTTAAAATCCCTCCTACACAGTCATGAAAGCTGAGCTCGGCCATTTCCTGCAGGGGTGAAGACAGAGACTGCAGAGAGAGCATCTTTACGGAAGTCAGCATTTTATGGAGTAAAGGGTTCAGAGCCGTTGATTTTAAGTGGTTGGTACCCAGCTCTCAAACCCTGTGCTAGACGTAGCTCTTTGTCATTCAAGAATAGCATTTGTGAGATCCGGGTGCAAACCTGTGGTTTGCTGGGGAAGGGCCATAGCTTAGTGGCAGGGCATCTGCCTTGCCAGCTGAAGGTGCCAGCTTTGATCCCTGGCATCTCCAGGTAGGCCTGAGAAAGGCTCATCATCCTGACAGCCACTGCCAGTCTGTGTAGGCGATACTGGGCTAGATTGACCAATGGTCTGACTTCCTAGATTGACCAAAAGGCAGCTTCCTGTATTCCTACCTTGGGAGTCACAATGGCGATCTAAAGGACCCTTTGCACAAATTGAAGCCACTTTATTTCCCCACTTGTATGCTGCCTTTCCATGATGCAGTCAAACTTAAAAGGCAGCTTACAAATAAAAATAGCAAAAGAATCCCAACAGTAAAACAAAAGAATCCCAACAGTAAAACAAAATAGCAGTGAAAGTAGCATTAACAGCAGCAGTATCAATCATAATTTTGCGTTTTGTCCTGGGTTTTCTTCCCTGCCAAATAAACTTAAGATAGCTCTTTCTGGCATTCCTTAAAATTTTGAATATCATTAACTATAGGTATTGTCTGAAATAGCATCTTTGGAAGTACATTCTTTTTTATAGCAGAAATTTTGCCCAACAGTGACAATTGCATTCTGCTTCAAATTTGCATATCTTTTTTGATTTCTTTCCAAACCTTTACACAGTTATCATTAAAGATATTATTATTATTCGCCGTTAACCATATCTCCAGGTATTTCACTTTCTTTTCACTCTTTATACCACTGAGTCTTTCAAGGTCTTTCATGAGTTGACCATCCATATTTTTGACGAACATTGTTGTTTTTTGAATAGCAAGGTAATCTCTAACCTTGGACCCGGTATTATCTCTCTTGGCTCTTGAAAGGGATTTAAATCCAACCCTTGTTCCCAAGGAGCTCTTAGCTCTGCTGCTTGCTGCAGCCAGACTCAAAATTGCCTTACGTTGGACATCTGCATCAATTCCCTTTAGTGGAATTGTTTGGGAGAGTATGGGACACAGCCTTGGCCGAGCCTTTAAACCATCACATGAGGGTTTTTAAAACAAGACCATTTTGATGTGAGATGGTGACCATTCATATGCTTTATAAATAAAAATAGTGCACTGCATAGGCCCACAACAATACACATCTCTCCGTGGCAAGGCTACCTTACCAGTATGCGGCTCTTACTTCCAAACTGTTCCATTGCAGAATCTTATTTTATTATGATGTCTGCAAAAGTATGCTGAGATTTCTGTTTATTTTATTCCAGCTGCAGTAATGTGCTCCACACATTTTTTTTGTTTCCTTGTTGTTTTTGAAAACTTAAAAAAGCACTTTTTTAAAAGAAGAAGAAAAGCAACAACAACGAAGTAAAAAGTAAATAAATACTCACCTGAATGAAGCAGTCTTGCTTAAAAGTGGGAGAGAAACAGTCTTCCAGCCACACAGGACGGAAGGGGAGGAGAGGTCTTCAGTTTTTGCCAGTTCCTCCCAGCTGCTGCCCATCACACAACAGCGCACACCATTCGGGAGGGTTCCCCCAGGCTGTTGAGAGCAGCTGGGGCGAGGGAGGGAACAGGAAGGCTCTCTTTTTCCTCAGCAGAACTTTGCCTGCGGTTTTTGAGGTTGAGAGCCTAAGAATTTTATTTTTGGCGTGAGCCAAGATCCAAAATAGGCCTACCCATCAGTCCAAATGTACAGGAAGCTGCCTTGAACCAGGTTAGATGACAGCTGCTTTCATGGGCCCTGACTCCTCGGGCGCTCAGGCAGAGGTCCTGCTGCCACCTCCTGCTCCCTGGTCCCCTGTCTGGAGGTGCCAGGGATTGACCTGGGAACCCTTCTTCACGCAAAACAGGTGCTCAGCCGCTGAGCTGGCTCCACCTCCACCACTGCTCAGTGCTCATATGAAGCAATGGGTTGTAAAAAGTGCTCGGAGTAGGTCCGTCGGAATTAATGGGCATGACTAGCGTAGGTTCATTAATTTAGCACATCTGTTGTTGTGTGGAATGTAGTTAGGTGCAGTCTTAAGTTCTGTGTGCTGCAGGTAGATAAATTGACAGGTTGGAGATGGTTCAGATAAGATGGTTCAGAGGGTATGGAAGGTGTATCCTGTGAGGAATGGTTCAATGGATTATTCAGGCTTGAAGAAGACAAGGCCGAGTGAGGCCATGCACAGGTACCACCAAATTGGGATAACTTGGAGCATGAGACTCTTAATCTCAGGGTTGTGGGTTTGGCCCTGTATATCTGAAGGAGCGTCTCCACCCCCATTGTTCAGCCGAGACATAGAAGGCACCAAGGGCCTTCTGGCTGTTACCTCGCTGCGAGAAGTGAAGTTACAGGGAACCAGGCAGATGGCCTTTTCAATAGTAGTAGTAGTAAGAAGAAGAAAAAGAAGAATAATTTATTATTTCTACCCCGTCCATCTGGCTGGGTTTCCCTAGCCACTCTGGGCTGCTTCCAACAAAAGATTAAAAATACATTAAAACATAAGTCATTAAAAACTTCCCTAAACAGAGCTGCTTTCAGATGTCTTCTAAAAGTCATATAGTTGTTTATTTCCTTGACATCTGATGGGAGGGCGTTCTACAGGGCAGTCGCCACTACTGAGAAGGCCCTCTGCCTGTGTCCCTGTAACTTCGCTTCTCACAATGAGGGAACCGCCAGAAAGCCCTCAGCACTGGACCTCAGTGTCTGGGAGATGAGTAACTGTATAACCTTTAGAAGACATCTGAAGGCAGCCATGTGTAGGAAAGCTTTCGATGTGTTATGTTTTATTATGTTTTTATATATGTTGGAAGCCACCTAGAGTAGCTGGAGCAACCCAATCGGATGTGCGGGGTACAAATAATAGAATTATTATTATTATTAAGCCCCATGTTGGGCAAAGGATTCCTGCATTGGAGGTGGTTGGGCTAATTGATCCTCATGGTCCCTTCCAATTCTAAGGTTCTTTGATTCTACAGTACCTGTAGGGCTGTCACGCAGAGGGCAAAGACTGGTGGTAGAGCAACTGCTTTTATTGTGAAAGGTCCCAGGATATCATCTGCTGGTTGGGCTGGGAGGGAGACATCTGTCTGTGACCCTGGAGAGACACTGCCAGTCAGTGTAGACAGTATGGAGCTAGATGGACCAGTGGTTTAAGGCAGCTTCCTGTGCTCCCAGGGCAGGGCTAGATTTAATGAGTAAAACGTAAGAGAAATGTCTTAACGGTAAGAGCAGTTCACCAGTGGAACCAATTGCCATAGATTTTCCTGTGTAGATTTTCCTGTGCTGGAGGTTTTGTAAGCAGATGTTGGGCAGCCATCTGTTAGGGTTTCTCTCTCTCTGGATTTTCTTGCATCAGGCATGTGGTTAGATTAGATGGCTTGCAAGACACACACAGACACACACACACACACACTGCAGCTGTGTGATTCTTCTGTTGGCCTTGTTAAGTATGTGTTGGGCTGCAGGTAATGGGCCGGATTCAGCTTGGTGGGTTGAGAAGTTGTGCAGAATTCGAATTAAGCCATTTTTAAAAGGAGAATGGATTTATTTTCTGCCTTTCAAGACCGTTTTGGATACATTTCGATTTAGCTCTTCCATGTGTACTTGAGAGAGATTTTGGGGATGGGTGTGTGTGTGGCAGCATCAGCAGCAGTGGATGACCTTTAAACTTCTGTAACTGCTCTCAAATCTGAAGCATCCCATTGTATGCTCAGTCTTCTGTTCCCGTCGTGGTTTCACTGACAGTAATATGGAAATCAGAACCCAAGCTACACCAAGCGACTTGGTTTTGTTGTTTCTGTCTATTGAAAAAATCATTTCTCAGTCAATTTGGAGAAGACAAAAGATGCTGGAAGCTTTTCATACAAAATACCAGTCTTGGCTGAGCCGCGTAATAGAAAATGTAGCTGCATCATTATAAAAATTCATAATGAGAATGTTAGTTTTACAAAAACTCAGCCGCTAATATGCTTCATTTTGTTAGCTTTAAGTATGGCATTTCAGGGTCTCCCCGCCCCCCCTTTTAAAAAAAAATCTTAGCTTTCATCTTGGAGGAAAGAAATGAAGCTTTAGACTTTGAAAGCTCAGGTGCTTTTATCTCTTTCTCTTTCTCTCTTCCCCACCCCCTTGATAGGTTTATGCCCAGAGTGGAGATAGTACAAAAGCATAACACTGCAGCCAGAAGACTCTATATCCGAGGTCATAATGGAAAGATTTACCCGTATCTCGTAATGAACGACGCTTGCCTGACAGAGTCACGCAGAGAGGAACGAGTATTACAGCTCCTTCGCCTCCTCAACCCCTGTTTGGAGAAGAGGAAAGAAACCACAAAGAGGCATCTCTTTTTCACAGGTAGGTATGGGTGCAGCGAGCTGTTCCTAGGATTTCAAACAAGGAGCTCTAAAGGATCATACGTCTTCAGGTGCCTTGAATAACTTTTTGTTATGCGCAACCTCAAGATGTGTTGAGAAGACAAGTCCTGAGTTCCGAAGGGTCCCCTGGTACGCCAGCTGTCAGTCCTCTGGCTGGAAGGATGCAAGGAATCCTTTCCCAGACTCTGGTTCACGCTGAGGTTTGAATACACAAAGAAGCAGCGGGAGTTTCTCCAGCTCTTTCTTAATGGCGCAGAGAAGAGAAGACTTCAACACCCCAAGCCCTTTGCACTCGTCAGAGGGCTTGCTCAAAGGAGACGTGGAGTCTTCTTCCACTTGCGCTGCAGTTTGGAGCTGGAAAGAAACAGCAGGAGCCTTTCCTGCTATTTTTCTCCATCCCTCCGTGCAAGCTAAGAAGTCTTGCGCTCTCCAAAGCCCTCTGCAACTGTCCACAGACCAGGGTGGGCGTTGCTTGTGAAAACATTTGTGCACCTTTGCTCATTCACCTTGATCCCTCTTTTACATAGCAGAGAGGCTCCCACAGTGGCAGGAGTGGGGGACCTGTGGCCCTCCAGATATTGCAGGACTATGGCTGCTATCATTTCTAACCATTGGCCCATGCTGTCTGAGGCAACCGTGCAAAGCCGCAATCATGTAGCTCAGATGGTAGAGCATGAGACTCTTAATCTCAAAGTTGTGGGTTCAAGCCCCACGTTGGACAAAGGATTCCTGCATTGCAGGGGTTGGACTAGATTATCCTAGGAGTTCCAACAGCTCTATGATTCTAAGTAAAAGAGTGTAAGATGTGACTTACCTGTACTACTGCTACTAATTATTGTAAAAAATATAAAGGTCCCCTGGATGGTTAAGTCCAGTCAAAGCTGACTATGGCGTGGCGCACTCATCTCGCTTCAGGCCAAGGGAGCCGGAGTTTGTCCGCAGACAGCTTTCCAAGTCATGTGGCCAGCATGAATAAACTGCTTCTGGCACAACGGGACACCATGACGAATGCCAGAGAGCACGGAAATGCTGTTTACCTTCCTGCCGCAGCGGTACCTATTTATCTACTTGCACTGGTGTGCTTTTGAACTGCTAGGTTGGCAGAAGCTGGAATAGAGCAACTGGAGCTCACCCCGTCACGGGGATTCGAACTTCTGACCTTCTGATTGGCAAGCCCAAGAGGTTCAGTGGTTTAGGCCACAGTGCCACCCGCGTCCCACTAATTATTGTATCCAATGTTAGTCATACTCGGGAGTCAACCCATTTGGTGAACATTGGTCCATTAATTTCATTGGGTTTTCCCTGAGTACGGCTTGGTTGTATATAAGAACAGAATGTAGAGCCTTTGGCTGGTGATGCAGCAGGTATAAAGCGGAGCTAAAGGCATCCCGGCAGAGCCTTAGTGAAGCAGGAATAACCTTGTCGCTGAAGGTCGCTTCCTCTCTGCTTGCCAGGCCTTTCCTCTCTAGTTGCTGCCGTTCTCCCGAGCCTCCCATAGTTTTGAGCCAGGGTTGGGCTTTCTTCTTTCGGAACGAAAAATTGTGCTTCACGGCATAATCGGATAAAGCGAGCGTGTCAGCAGTAGGTGGATTTTTATCTGAGCAGAAATTATCCTTGTCTCTGACATAAAAGTGAGCAGAGTAGCCCACGACTCTCCAGATTTGCAGCTGGCGTGGTGTAGCAATGGGAGGCTTGAAATCCTGTTCAGGGTAATACAGCTCTTCATTCAGAAATGCCTTTGTGGGGCCTGGCGTCTAGTACAAACAAATGGTTCTTTCTTGTGAGTTCTCTTTCATAGCAGAGCTCTTGAGTGTGCCGAGAGTGGACAACGAGTGCCACTTGACACACTTCAGGCCGATCATCACGGCAGTGGGAGAACTGATATCTACATACTTTGCCAGTCTAGAATCTGCTTTGATGTAGAAGGCGTCTTCTTCTTGCAAACCCTTTTCTCCTTGTGCTTGTTGCTCATGAGGCACCATAAGTGAACAGGGTATTTTAGTCCTGTGGTGGAGCCCAAGCTCAGGTTTATTATTATTATTACTTATTTGATTTATATACCCCTAGGGCAGAGTCCCACTGGTCCCATCACCTCCTGGCAAATAGAAGGGGAAGAAATGGAGGCAGTGAGAGATTTTACTTACTTGGGCTCCATGATCACTGCAGATGGTGACAGCAGCCACGAAATTAAAAGACGCCTGCTCCTTGGGAGAAAGGCGATGGCAAACCTAGACAGCATCTTAAAAAGCAGAGACATCACCTTGCTAACAATGGTCCATATAGTTAAAGCCATGGTTTTCCCAGTAGTGATGTATGGAAGTGGGAGCTGGACCATCAAGAAGGCTGATCGCTGAAGAATTGATGCTTTTGAATTATGGTGCTGGAGGAGACTCTTGAGAGTCCCATGGACTGCAAGAAAATCAAATGCATCCATTCTTAAGGAAATCAGCCCTGAGTGCTCACTGGAAGGACAGATCCTGAAGCTGAGGCTCCAATACTTTGGCCACCTCATGAGAACAGAAGACTCCCTGGAAAAGACCCTGATGTTGGGAAAGATGGAGGGCACAAGGAGAAGGGGATGACAGAGGATGAGATGGTTGGACAGTGTTCTCGAAGCTACAAACATGAGTCTGACCAAACTGCGGGAGGTAGTGGAAGACAGGAGTGCCTGGCGTGCTCTGGTCCATGGGGTCACGAAGAGTCGGACACGACTAAATGACTAAACAACAACAAAAGGGCAGAGTACAACATAAAAAACCTATTTTATGGAGCATAATAATAGTATACTCATAAAATAATCATAATAATAGTTGTCCCCACATTTAACAGGTTATAGCTAGGGCCAAAGGCCTGGATAAAGAGGAATGTTTTTGCCTGGCACCTAAAGACATGTAATGATGGCACCAGGCAAACCTCTCTGGGGAGAGCATTCCACAGTCGGGGAGCCACCACAGAAAAGGCTCGTTCTCATGCCGCCACCCTCCAATCCTCGCAGGAAGGGAGGACATACAGGAGGGTCTTGGATGACAAACGCAGGGTCCGGGTCAGTTCATATGGGGAGAGGCAGTCCTTAAGATATTGAGGCCCTGACCCGTGTAAGGTTGTAACATCCCCCTTTGTAGAATGGTTTGCAGCAAAGAGAAGTTTTAACAGGGATTCCTGTGCCTAGATAGGGCCTGGTGTGCGTCTTAATGTATGGCTGGGGAAGACTTGTGTCTGAAACCCTTGAGAGAGCCACTGTCAGGCTGCAAAGACAGTAGTCTGCTAGATGGATTGATGATTTGACTCTGCATAAGGCAGCTTCCAATAGTCCAACAATGGGTGGAGAACCTTTATGTCCAGATCCTATAACTGGTGGGGAATCCAGCAAACCAGATATTTATTGTTACCCACCGCCGTTAGCCAATTTTGACAACCCGCCAGTCATTCCACTGCTGTTATCTGCTGGCACAAGGCTGGCAAAGCTTCTTTCTCCAGGGATCATTTCCACAACTGAGCTCCCCAGGGAAATCTCAGTCACATAACCAATCCAGCAGGCTTGATTGGTCGTGCCTTTAAAACTGCTTTCTGCAGGATCGGCGTCATGATCAAGTTCCCCACAGGGTTGGGTTGTGCAGTTGATCCAGCCACATCTCTACTTGTCCCACACCTGACACCATGTATGATATTGGGTGTGGGGCAGCTGCAAGTGGTTTGGGGAAAACAGCTTGTGGGCCAAATTGAGACCTTTGCTGGGCCAGATTTGGCCTGCGAGTGAGAGGTTCCTAACCCCTGTCCTATGGCAAGATTGAGGAACACGTGAACCAACTCCTACTAGCCCTAGCCAGGGATTTTACCATGGCAGCATCTGGGGGGCCATTTGAACACCTGGATTTTTGACCTTGGCAAAGGCAACAAAGGACAAACAAGGATAACAAGGGACTAATGTGAAATGCAGTTATTATATGCAGTTAAGCTTGGGTTTCAGCTAGCCAAAAGGGTTACACAAAGGTTTCACAGGGAAGGTTTAAGTTTTGGGTTAATCTCTTACTCAGTTCAATGGTTGGTTGGTTGATTATTAAATCTGCAGACATTTGCATATGAGGGGAAAATCCCAAAAGCTCTTTTAAAAAGGTGTCCCTCCCTCCAAACCTGTAACTCTAGGTGTTGTTCAACTACAGCGCCCATCATCTATGGCCTTGGGAACGTTGACTGGGACTGATAAGAGTTGGGAGTCCAACAACAACTGGAGGGACAGAGGTTTCCTCACCTTTGCGCTTAGCAGCGCATGCATGTGTTGCAGCTTTTGTCCTCTTAGGAGAGGCATCCCCCCCCTTCTTCTCACACACAGAAGAGAGTGTCTTTTTGTATTAAATCATTTTAAATGCTTTAAACTCTGCTGACTGGTTTTAATGAGGGGAGCTTTTATAGGTCTGTTGAAATGTTTCCAGTCAATTTAATCGAACCGATTAATCAACTTAATATTGCGGCCAAAGTTTTGAGGAGGGACGATGTCAGTTTCCGCAGTTCAGGAAGGCTTGAAGCTCTGAGGGAGCTTTCGCTGTAGCTGTAAAGCCATCTCATCAGCCTTTGGGAAACGTGTATAGAAAGTGGAGGCTCCATCCCTTCCAGGCTCTCATTCAAGTCCCAGACCATGTAGGTGCTTGATCTGCTTTACTCTCCTGCAAAGTAGCCTTACGTCTAGCTAGCCAGGTGCTTCGACAGGAGGTTTTGCTGGCCATTTTCTCTGCTGCTGCAGCTCGGGGGGTGATGGGCATGTATGTGTGTGAGAGAGAGATGGCCAGGATCCCAGCCAACTGGTGTGGAGACCCCTGTTCTTAGGGTGGGGGTGCCTGGATTCAGTGCCACCTCTGCCAGTGCAGGTCTCTCTCCAGGGAGGGGTCCTGCTCCCCCCACTCTTCCTCCAAAGAGACACAAGAATCATAGAGTTTTAGAGCTGGAAGGGACCCTGAGGATCGAACCCGCCCCCCTTGCAATGCAGGAATATGCAGCTGTCCCATATGGGGACCAAACATGCAACTTTGGCGTCAGCTGAATGGGTGGTGTCATCTAAGAACATAAGAAAAGCCCTGCTGGTCCAGTCCAGCATCCTCTTCTCGCAGTTGCCATCCAGGTGCCTCTCGGAGGCTTACAACCAGTACCTGAGTGCTCCCAAGGAACAAGCCAGCCTTTGAGAAGCTGAGGACGGTAGGAAAAGCAAAGAGGTTATGGATTTGCACATCTCAGGAGAGAAGAGCAGACATGGAGGCTGGGGAGGCCTCAGGAGAGCTTTAAAAGCAAGGACAAGGCCTGATGGTTATGGCTGTCCTGGGGAAAGGAGGAAAAATAATCTGTTGGGCTTGTTCGCTTTGATCCTTCAGGACATTAACTTTACATTTCCCCCTTTCTCCCTGTCTCCAGTCCCCCGAGTCGTGGCCGTCTCTCCACAGATGCGCCTGGTCGAAGACAATCCTTCATCTCTCTCCCTCGTGGAGATCTACAAGCAGCGCTGTGCCAAGAAGGGGATTGAGCACGACAGCCCGATTTCTCGCTACTATGACAGACTGGCAACCGTCCAAGCGCGAGGGACCCAGGCCAGCCATCAGGTATTGTAGTCTGTGACGAATGCGTTAAGACGCTCTCTGCGCCAGGCCTGTTCTTCGCCTCCCTTTGCTTCCCTTGCCTCGTATTTGATGCATCAATCTCATCTTTTCACTCTCTTGCTCTCTCTCCCATCCCCTTCTTTTTATCGGCAAAACAATCTTTCAAAGTAGATCTGCCAGAGGACTGAGCGGGCACCTGCATCGCATTAATATTGTGGCAAAGCTCCGAAAACATAAACCCTCAAAAGAGCCTTGTTACCTCTCCACCTTGTATGATTAATAGAGCGTAATTATGACCGGAAAAAGACAAGATATGCAACAAAGAAGTTTTGTTAGGCAGCTGTGGGCTGTTGGGTGTTTGGCGTGGGTTGTTTTGCTTGTCAGAGCCATGAGTCCCACAAGAGGCAGCGATGGCCATCAACTTGGATGGGCTTAAAAGAGGATTAAACATATTTCTGGAAAGATAAGGCTCACCATGACAACCATGTTCCGTCTCCACGGTCAATGGCATTCTGCTTCCTTGTACCAGCTGCTGAAAACCATAGGAGGGGGAGAGTGTGGTTGTGCCCAAGTCCTGCTTGCAGGCTTTCTGTGGCCATCTGGCTGGCCAATGTGAAGACAAGATGCTGGACTGGATGGGCCATGGGCTTGATCCAGCACGTTTGAACCAAGGGAACCCATGGTCTTCAGATGCTTTTAGACTACAGCTCCCATCACTTCTCACCATTGGTCATCCTGGTTAGGGGTGATGGGAGCCGGAGTCTTAACAGCATTCAGAGGACCACAGGTTCCCCATCCCTAATCCAAACAGTACTTAAGGAGAAGCTTGCTTCTTTGAGAAGTTCTTCCATGAACTCACCGTGTCACCTTGGGCCACTGTTCCTCCACTTTGGTTCTGCAATGGAGAGGAACCATAGCTCACTTGTAGAGCGTATGTGTTGCCCGCAGGAGGTCCCAGATTCAATCCTTTATATCACCCTTTAAAAAAGGGGGGGGGGTCAGGTAGCAGATGATCGGGAAACCCCTTTATATGAGACCTTCGGTCACCCCTACCAATCAATGCAGACAGTCCTGGACCAGCTTCCTGATAATGCGACTTAACAATACAAAGCTGTTAAGGATGACTATTGTTGTTGTTTAGTCGTTTAGTCGTGTCCGACTCTTCGTGACCCCATGGACCAGAGCACGCCAGGCACCTCTGTCCTCCACTACCTCCCGCAGTTTGGTCAAACTCATGCTGGTAACCTCGAAAACACTGTCCAACCATCTCGTCCTCTGTCACCCCCTTCTCCTTGTGCCCTCCATCTTTCCCAGCATCAGTGTCTTCTCCAGGGAGTCTTCTCTTCTCATGAGGTGGCCAAAGTATTGGAGCCTCAGCTTCACGATCTGTCCTTCCAGTGAGCACTCAGGGCTGATTTCCTTCAGAATGGATAGGTTTGATCTTCTTGCAGTCCATGGGACTCTCAAGAGTCTTCTCCAGCACCATAATTCAAAAGCATCAATTCTTCGGCGATCAGCTTTCTTGATGGTCCAGCTCTCATTTCCATACATCACTACTGGGAAAACCATGGCTTTAACTATACGGACCTTTGTTGGCAAGCTGACGTCTCTACTTCTCAAGATGCTGTCTAGGCCTGTCATTGCCCTTCTCCCAAGAAGCAGGTGTCTTTTAATTTCGTGGCTGTTGTCATCATCTGCAGTGATCAAGGATGACTATAGTAATGTGTATTAGTTGCTCCAGACACCCAGAAAGCCCTGCTCAAATGCTCTCACTGTTTTGTGTTTCAGTCCACAGACTGGTCTCTCCACCATTCTCTCTTTTCAAAAACGAAAACAAAAAAAGGAAGCTTTTTTTCCATTTGGCGCTAAAAAAAACTGTCCGATATCTGCCATTTCGCCCCCATAGGCTAACTAAGACACAGTTTGAATCCCCCTGAAGTGGTGTAATTAAGGCTTAGTATTCCATTATACCCTTGCCCATTTATAATAATAAATAGTTACTTTAAAAGCCTTAACACATATAATTAAGCATTGTGCTGTCTTCTTTCTTCCCATTGAAATTGATGCAGTTCCAGGTGTGTTGTGTCTTGAAAGTTGTGTCTGTAATAAACAACCTTTCATTCCTTGCACAGCATAAAATAAAATTAAGTGACATGGAACATCTGTCTTTCTCTCCCGTTTTCTTTTTTGAGGCTCTTCCCTTCTGGTTGTGGAAATTTAGTCCCTCTCTCTCTGAGTAATTTAATTTAAGCAAGTGTGATTATCATTCTTTTCTAGTGCAGTGGAGCAGGTCCCCACTTTATTTTCTCCTTCTAATTAATTAGGCCAGTCCACGCTGTAGGTAATTAAATATGGAGGTAGTTCACAGATGTTTACATGGGAGGCACAACTTGGCTGCGGAAAGTGTGGTAACATTAATACTCAGATGCTTGAAGCGGATCTTGATTGCAGCCCGAGCATACCAGGCCCTGTGCAGACTGCGGAAAGATAGTATTGCCTCTCAGTGCTTGAACGTGCATCACGACATCTGTGCCATGCAGGGAGGCGCAAGAGGTTCAGAGGCTGCTTGTGGAAACCACAGCCCAAAGCCCACACTTCAGTAGCTGGGCCTGCAGTTTAGGTCTGGGGAGCCTCTGGCCCTTCAGCTGTTGCTCAGCTCCCATCAGCCCCACAGACCACAGATTCCTTTGCCACTGCTTTAGTTACAAAGCTGGATGGAGCCATGCTAGATGGATAAAAGTTTGGTTTGAAGAGGTTATGGGTGCACCAGTCTCCTGTCATCCTACCCACTTCTGCTTGTTTGTTTGTTTGTTCTTAAATCTTGCCTACGTTGCATGATATAATTCCATCACATGGGTGAGCTATACAGCCCAATTTGAATAAAATGAACAGTAATACAGTATCATTCAGTGGCTGTTACACCTTCCTTCTGCTGGGATAAAGGCCTCATGGGTGGGCAGCCCAGTCTGGTATCATGGGTGATACTTCCTTTCGTCTAGGAACAAGCTAGACCTCCTTAGCTTCAGCAAGGTTTCTTCATATTGCACCCCTGGACAGTGCCCCGGACTCCACAGTTTTAACTGTTGGCTGATTGAGCTCCTACAGTACACACTCCCTCTCACGAAATCCAGTGGCAACTATTGCCACTAATGCAATATTGCCTAAATAATAATAATAATAATAATAATTATTATTATTATTATTATTATTATTATTATTATTATTTTATTTATATCCAGCCCTTCCCAGCCGAAGCCGGGCTCAGAGCGGCTAACAACAATAAAAATAACACAGTTTACATAAAATCACGATCAATTAATTGAAATACATTCTAAAATCAATTCATTCTAAAATCAATTCGGAGTCAAATTAATGGCAACCATTGGGCTAGAGTTTTATGAGGATTACGGAAGGAGGGGGTCAGGCTGTGCCTTGGCCAAAGGCCTGGTGGAACAGCTCTGTCTTGCAGGCCTTGCGGAAAGATGTCAAGTCTCGCAGGGCCCTAGTCTCTTGTGACAGAGCATTTTACCAGATCGGGGCCACGGCCACCTGGTCGAGGTCAGCCTAACCTCCCTATGGCCCAGGATCTCCAAGTTGTTTTTATTTGGGTTACCATTTTATCTTTTCATTTCTATAACAGAAGACCTGCAATATATTTTACCTCCCAAGTCCTGTGCATTCTAAAATACATTTCAGTCAGGCTTGCCTCTTCACCACGGGCAGTAAGGAATTCCATGGAGGCAAAACGAGCAGGTGGGCAAGGGAAGGACTCATTTGATTTCCTCGCTGGAAGAAAATCCAGAGGAAGGAAAGCGCAGAAGCACAGAGGACTGATAGAGAAGGGATCCTTACTTCACTTGCTGGAAGACAGGTTTTTGGCACTTTTAAGCAGTTTTGTTTCCACGACAGACGAGGCAGCCAGCTTAGAAATGCAGGCTGCTGCTCTCGAACCAGGCTAGTTAAAAAGAAGAAAACCCCTGCAAACTATAACTTTTGTGGGCTTACTTAAAAGCCTGATTTTTTAAAAAAAGAAAATAATGTGCTAAAATATTCAAAGGACTTAGCATTTTGCTTTCAGCTTTCATTAAATGAAGGTGTTGCTTTTTAAAAAAACCCCACCCCAAAATGGTTAAAGGGAGCTCTTCTTGAAGTAGCTTCGCTGGCAAGTGTAACACGACACAACTCTAAGGATTTAAATCAACCTGGAATAAAAAAATACATAATGTGTTTCTGTTGTCAACCGATGTAAATCTGTCCATCCCAATAGCTGCAGTCTTAAGTGCTTAATTATAGTTGCAAAGGCCCCTTTGAAGTTGTTTGAAACCTTTTAGAAATACATGATCCTGATGGCTTTCCTCTCCCTCCCCCGTTGTAGGTTCTCCGTGATATTCTGAAAGAGGTGCAGGGCAACATGGTGCCTCGGAGCATGCTGAAAGAGTGGGCTTTGCACACCTTCCCCAACGCCACCGATTACTGGACCTTCCGGAAGATGTTCACCATCCAGTTGGCACTGATCGGGTTCGCAGAATTCGTCTTCCATTTGAACAGGCTTAACCCTGAGATGCTCCAGATTGCTCAGGTATGCACTGGGACTAGTTTGCAGGTTGCATAATCATCATGTGATGCCCTCCAGCATCCAGGGGCAACTTGCATAATAAATAGTAAAGGTAAAGGGACCCCTGACCATTAGGTCCAGTTGTGGCCGACTCTGGGGTTGCGGCGCTCATCTTGCTTTATTGGCCGAGGGAGCCAGCATACAGCTTCTGGGTCATGTGGCCAGCATGACTAAGCTGCTTCTGGCGAACCAGAGCAGCGCACGGAAATGCCGTTTTCCTTCCCGCCGGAGCGGTACCTATTTATCTACTTGCACTGGCGTGCTTTCGAACTGCTAGGTGGGCAGAAGCAGAGACTGAGCAACGGGAGCTCACCCCGTTGTGGGGATTCGAACTGCCAACCTTCTGATTGGCAAGTCCTAGGCTCTGTGGTTTAACCCACAGTGCCACCCGCATCCCTAAATAATAATAATAATAAATAATAAATATGACATAATAAATATGACAACACAAATAGAAATTTGTTTATAGAATTTGTGTCCTTTCATCCGTATGGGTTACTAAGGCATCTCACAATTGTTGTTTTCTTGTTTGTTTCATTTAGTAGATTTATATCCCACTTTATATTTATGGCCTCATCTGCACTGTGCATTTAAAGCAGTATCATACCACTTTAAGCAGCCATGGCTTCCCCCAGAGAATCTTGGGAAGTGTAGTTTGTTAAAGCTGCTGATAGGAGATCCCTGTTCCCCTCTATGCAATACATTATAGGAACAATATTTTTCCCTGCCCCTGATCCTCTACTAGCACTTTATTCAAGATTGATACTTTATTGAGGACGTTTTTCGTCTGTCATATTTATACCCCTGCTAATAAGGAATAGTGTACATGTCTGCAATTTCTTATTAACTATTGTCTCTGCTCATAATGCCTGAGCAGGAGTCTGTTAACGTAAACATGCCTTTGGAAAAGCTTATTTTTATTCTTATCCCCCATTTACAATTTGAATGCAAGAGAAGTCTTTCAGATTTGCACAGATACAATCAGTTTTGGATAGCTTTTTGTTTTTCTTCTGATTTCCATACTTATGGTTTATATGTGTGTCTTTAAAAAAATCTCTAGGACACTGGCAAACTGAACGTGGCATACTTCCGTTTTGATATCAATGATGCTACCGGGGATCTTGACGCCAACCGCCCCGTCCCATTCCGACTCACACCAAACATTTCTGAGTTCCTCACTACCATTGGCGTTTCTGGTCCACTCACTGCATCTATGATTGCAGTGGCTCGCTGTTTCGCACAACCAAACTTTAAGGTATGTACAGGTGTGGGTGGGAGTTTGTGTGTTTAATACCAAAGAATTGATTTAGACTCCTTAGCTTTCATCTTCTGTGAAAGCCATCCGATCTTCCTACCTGGCTCTTCTTCTTTGCTTTCTCTCTCCCCTGCCACTTCGCAGGGGCAGAGAAAGAGGGGTGCAGGCTGCCCCAGGTGTCACCACTGAGGGGGGTGACAAAATGCTAGGCATCGCTCACCGTGGGGCCCACAGCGCACCCGAGCCAGGCATCTCTCCTGGGAGAGACATGGTGGCTTGGGCGCGCGCAGGCTCTGCGCTGCGCAAATTGTCCGCCTGCTGCCTCCCCCCCAGCTGTAGGGCAGCTGAGTGGGAGGAGGCAGGCAGACTCCAGAGGCCCTGCTGTGCACCCCACCACTATGGGCGCCTTGCCCTGCCCCTGTGCGCACCACCCCAGGCGCCCAAGCGACTTCCTCCACCGCTGCCTCTTTGGCATAGAAACCATAAATAAACCTATCAAAGGGAGGGTGTGTGTATGAGGGTAGGGGAGAACCGACTGGTGGGGAAAGAGTTTATCACCCACTGCCATTGCTCTTCTGATAATGCCTTCCCATAGGCAGGTTTCCTTTTCACCGAGAAACAAAAGTATTCTCTAGTTTAACATGTAGCTCCACGCTGGCCTCTCCGCCTTCGGGCAGAAATCTCATATAAGCATAATATGAGCTTTTTATAAATAAATAATAGCCCTGGCTTTGCAGTCCTCTACGGAATTGGCCCCACTTCCGCGGCAGTACATTATAGCGAAAACGCCTGCGCTCCTAGTAACTGTTCCCCCCCACTTTTTTATAGAGTAGCTACTTATGATCGGTTTGAAAATGTAATGTGCAGGTATATGAGCTTGATCCCACGATGCCCCTAGAATTCGGGTCACAGATGATAACCTGCATCCCACAGATGGTGTGGCGTGTCCATCCCCCCACCTGCCCTTTCTGAATCGCCACAGTAGATTGTACACTGAGCTGAAGCACATCTGAAAAGAGCTTTGCTGGTTTGACCCTATTTTTTTGGGGGGGGGGGTTTCCAGACAATTAGAGAATGAAGTAACCTTCCCATGTCTCACAGCAGATCCGTAAAAAGTCTAGCTGATGCCTGTGCGGTCCTGTTTCTTGGGCAGAACGCTGCAAAGCGGACAGTAATTCTGCTCTCAGCTTGGCCTGTTGGGTTGAAATTAACGTGCCTCAGCAGTTGCCACAGCATTCCATCAACAATGCTGGTGTCTGCAAGCCTGAGAACGGTGGCGCGGGATGCAAATCAGCAGCATCGTTTAGGTTTCCCCACGAATCATGTCGCAAATAGGAATCTGTCTTGGCGGCTTGCTAAGTGCAAAAGGAAGCTCATGATATATAGTGGTTTTGATGGAGTTTGGCTCTTGGCAGGGTACAGTTTGCTCAAGGAATGGGCTTAATTCCTTTTTTGAATTCTGATGCTTCACCAAGGTGAAGCATCTCCTCGCAGCTGGTGGCAAATTTGCAATCGCCATGTTACACCAAACACGCCATGTGGCGCACGAAGAACGCAGGTGGTATGCCTGTGTGATTTTCCTAATTAGGCATCTAAAGACTCAACCTGCAGTTGTGCTAAATCCTCTCTTAACTTCTTAAATGCAAGGGGGCAGGGGGGCAAACGGCCAAAAAGAAAAGCGGGGAGGATCAAAATTATAGAAGCGTTGGATTTTTCTGAAGTTGAAGGCTCGAGTTTTTCGGATCGATCGGAGCATTTATATTCTGCCTCTTCTGTTCAGGGCTTGCTTACAAAACACAGAAATTGCAGTTTTGCGGAAAGAGTACGAAACAACTACAAAAGAGACAAGGGACAGAAGTGGGGTTTTTTCTAAGTAGAGGTATTGTCTGCCTGATCAAATACAAGCTTCCTGAGTTGAAAAGGGCTTCAATAAACGAGGAAAATACAACGGGGGAGAAAGATAGCCACGCATTATGGGGCAAAGGGGTTCCATAAGGTGGGCACAGCCAAAAGTAAACCGTCACAAATGGTTCTAGAAGGAAACATCAAATGCATAGCCTTTAATAACGCACCTCACTCTAGGCTGCAGTTGTGTGAACACGCCACCGTAAAGAGTTTTGTTGTTGTTGCTAAGGTTTATTGCAGGAACGCCAAAGCACCGCGACGGTCCGTTTCCCTTGCAGTTTGGCTAAGTCCCTTGACAGTCCCTCCTAGTTAAACATAATTATTTCCCCTTCCTCCCTCCCTCCCCGGTCCTCGTAGGTTGATGGCATCCTGAAGACGGTGTTGCGGGACGAAATAATTGCTTGGCACAAGAAGACCCAAGAGGATACTTCCTCCCCGCTCTCGGCAGCAGGGCAGCCGGAGAACATGGACAGCCAGCAGCTGGTTTCGCTGGTTCAGAAAGCCGTGACCGCCATCATGACGCGCCTGCATAACCTGGCTCAGTTCGAAGGAGGGGAGAGCAAAGTCAACACCCTGGTTGCTGCGGCAAACAGCCTGGACAACCTCTGCCGCATGGATCCTGCCTGGCACCCCTGGCTCTGACTTGGCGCCGTGAAGTTCTTATGGCCTGCAGTTGCGGTGGGGAGAAGGGTGGGGAAATGTGAACACTTCTTTGTGAACCATGCCTTGCTTTGCCGCTACATCTCCACCCATCCTGACCTCACCTTTTCATCAGTCTTCGGTGTGATCATGTTTACAGAAGTACCGCTGCCTCTATGCCCCTCGAAGTCATTTTTGCATGCTTATCGTCCAAGGATCGCTCCTTTGAAGTGGCTTAGGGAGAGGAGACAGTGAACCATCTCTTCCTTCGCGCCGCCGCGAGGATGTGCCTGTGGCTCGGAAGCTGCAGGCCTACTCATTCGAACTTTTTGTTTTATTTCAAGAACACTTTTAAGGAATTTGTATCCCCCACGTTGTGGGTCTTCCTGCGTGACGTTCCTGTTTTTCATTTTATAAAAAGTGTTTTCTTTGTTGTTTACCTTCCGATTGGTGCAAAGACTGCTGGAATGAATGCCATTTTAATCCAGTCACATGTGCATCGTAGTGGGTTTGTACAGTGGTTTTGTAACAAAATGTATAGAGAAACGGGGGGAATTGCCCTTTTTGAGTCACTACTGGGTGAGAAATGATCAAATTGTGCTAGTTTTCTCCCTAACTGTTGCAGTGCATTGTACAGATGGACCCATTTCTGAAATCTAGTTTAGAGGCTCACTTCTGTGCAGGAGGAGCACTGTAAAAGTGAATTTGTCATCCATTGAGTTGCATATTTTGATGGAACCAGTGCAACACAATTCAGAAAGTATATGATAAGCTGGTTATGTCTTGAGCTTTGCCATCTTTAAATGTGTATCATTAAGTAGCTTCTTGAGGAAACGTTTTTAGTTTTTACCTTTGTAATTTAAAAGAAGGGGGGAAAAGAAATGGCTTTTATTTGGGTCCATGTTAGCATTTTTTTTATAAAACTTGCAGTGTTCAGAATGTTACAGTTCCAATTTGTACAGAGTGAACTTTTTCAAAATAAATATTTTCTAAAATGCTTTAACGGTGCTTGTTTTCCTGAAGTGGTCTCAGTGGCAGTGAATTAAAGCAGTGGCAACACGAGGCTTCCAAAGTAGAGAGGGTTGATGGCATTAAAACACTGTTCCCAGCACAAATACACAGTGTGCAGATAATCATGTCACTTCCTGGTAATGCAGATATTAAATCAGCCCAAGAACAAGACCCATACATAACAAGAGCCTGGTGCAGTAATGAATTTGCTAGCCATTTGTGCCATTTTAAACAGGGCCTAGGACACCCAGCGCCTACTTGAATAATTAGCATTTGAATAATTAGTCCAGAGAGGTTGGCAGCAATCCTTCCTGTGGCTATGTTTTTTAGTATGGCAGTAGGTGTGTTCTTGTTTCTCGCTGAATGGAGAACAGCTCTCGGTTCATAATGGCGTGTTCCAAGAACCTGCATCCGGCTCCTAAAAGATTTAAAACTCCTGGCTTGGTACAAGCTTATGAGGAGGTACCGTATTTTTCGCTCTATAACACGCACCTGACCATAACACGCACATCGTTTTTAGAGGAGGAAAACAAGGGAAAAAACATTCTGAATGAAACAGTGGATGTATCATTTTTCTGCTTCATGCTGTGGCCACAGACATGTGATCTGATGGTGAATTTGGGGTGACCCAATGCAAAAATCCTGAGAATTCCTGTGGATCCATGCTTTGTAACCACATTTTTGCATCATTGCAGCCCCAGGCAACAGTGGGTGCATGATTTTGGGGGGGCAGGCTGTAGCCATGGACATGCTATGTGATCTGATGGTGAATTTGGGGTGACCCAATGCAAAGATCCTGAGGATCCATGTGGATCTATGCTTTGTAACCACATTTTAAGTGGGGAGCGAAGAAAAAACAAAGAAGGGACATGAGAGGGGTGTGCAGAGAAGCAGCTGGCTAAGAAAGCAGGAGAGGGATTTAATGGGAGGGAGGAAAGAAAGGCAAAAGTTTCCCCCCACCCAAGCCAGCCATCTCTCTCTCTCCCTCTCTCTATCTCTCTCTCTCCCTCCCCCCCTCTCTCTCCCTCCCCCCCCTCTCTCTCCCTCTCCCCCAGCAGCACCGGAGCACAGAGAGGAATTAGAAGGAACGACACACTGCTTTCCCCTCTGCTTGCCTGGAGGGGAGGGGCTTTCCCTGCTCTTTGTTCCGTTTCAGGAAACACAGCAACGAAACAGAGGAGGGTGGGCAGTAAGACCCTGAGGCAGAATGCAGGAAAGCAGCCGCTTCTCTTTTCAGGTTTCCCTTCTCCGTGAAGCGCGATTTGATTTTTGCCTGATTTTTCGGCTCCAGGGACCACACATTCGCTCTATAACACGCACAGACATTTCCCCTTTTTAGGAGAAAAAATCTGCGTGTTATGGAGGGAAAAATACGGTATGTTTGGTTTGGGACTAGCGGCAATATCTCTGCTGAGAAGGCTCGTCCGTTTGGTGTGTTGGTCTTCTGTTTTAGCAGCAGTAGCAGCTAAAGAGAGCTTTTCCTTCCATATATATTGCTGATTGTATTACCAAAATGCAGAACACAGTGCATTATATATATTTAAATACACATATTGTAAACATAAATGCTAAATATGGAGAGGTAACTCTTATAAACATTCATTTAGCACCTAGTCTTAGTCTAACAATTATATAAAAATAAAAAAATTGTTCAGTAGCACCTTAGAGACCAACTAAGTTTGTTCTGGGTATACGCTTTCATGCGCGTGCACACTTCTTCAGATACCAGATATTTATTTTGACTGCGTCATACCAACACGGCTACCTACCTGAATTATATATAAATACACCTTCCCTTAAATTACTTCTACCACCACAGCACATTAGATTTAGAAAGCTTGAAGAGGTAGCAATAATAGAATGACATGATAAATATTCTGTCACGGGTCGGCAGCTTTCACATAATTGTTTATAGCAGACCTTTTGAAAAATGGTCCCATCTCACAAGTGACCATAAATTGCAAACCTTAATAACCCTGGGTGATCTCCCAAAAAGTCATAGGCAAGAGTAGAACTATTGGGTTGTAGCCAGCTAAGTTCTACTCAGGAGCAGACCAATTGAAATTAATGCACCTGTCAGTCACGTCCATCGATTTCAATTGGTCAGCTCTTAAGTAGGACCAACATGGATACCAGAGTGGTCACTTTGGTGCTGCTACCACAGCGGTTTGACTTCACCTCCCAAGGTGCACTCCATTGTCTCGAGAGACACACAGTTGCCAACAACAGACTAACGTTCCTTGTCACCGTAGGCTGCTTCTTGGAGGGACTGTGTCTGAATTTTCACCAGTATAATTCTAGTAAAGGGACCTGACCATTAGGTCCAGTTGTGGCCGACTCTGGGGTTGTGGCGCTCATCTCGCTTTATTGGCCGAGGGAACCAGCGTACAGCTTCCGGGTCATGTAGCTAGCATGACTAAGCCGCTTCTGGCAAACCAGAGCAGCGCATGGAAACACCGTTTACCTTCCCGCCGAAGCAGTACCTATTTATCTACTTGCACTTTGACATGCTTTCAAACTGCTAGGTTGGCAGGAGCAGGGACCAAGCAACGGGAGCTCACCCCGTCACAGGGATTTGAACCGCTGACCTTCTGGTCGGCAAGTCCTAGGCTCTGTGGTTTAACCCACAGCGCCACCAGCGTTCCATAATTCTAGTAATCATGAGCAAATACATACCATACATTTCCGCGTATAAGACTATGTTTCTTTAAAAATCATGCTAAAAAATTGAGGTCGTCTTATACATGGGTAGTGTATAGGGTGGACATTTGATTTGTTGCTGCTGCAGCTGTTAGTGGCTATTGTGTGTTATTGGTTGCTGCCCCCTAAAAATGCTCAACAACCCTGGGTAACCCCCCTGCCAAAAAGCTCAGCAGCTCTGTGCCATCTCTTCCCATTGTTTTAAATTTGAGTCCCCCAAAGAGAGCCAGTGTGGTGTAGTGGTTAAGAGCGGTAGTCTCGTAATCTGGGGGAACTGGGTTCGCGTCTCCACTCCTCCACATGCAGCTGCTGGGTGACCTTGGGCCAGTCACACTTCTCTGAAGTCTCTCAGCCCCACTCACCTCACAGAGTGTTTGTTGTGGGGGAGGAAGGGAAAGGAGAATGTTAGCCGCTTTGAGACTCCTTAAAGGGAGTGAAAGGCGGGATATCAAATCCAAAATAGGGGGCATCTTATACACGGAAAAGTACGGTAATTGACACAGTGCATTGTTAAAATATGGACCTCGCTGCCACAGAAGATAGTGATGGCCACCAATCCACATAGCTTTAAGAGAGAATTAAATTCCTGGAGGAGAGGGGCCATCAGTGGCTACTAGCTGTTATGGCTATGCTCTGCCTCCACGGTGGAGTCAGAAATGATTCTGAATACCAATTGCTGGAAACCAAAGGTGGCAGGAAGAGAACTCTTGTGCTCAAATTCTGCTTGCAGGTTTCCCAGAAGTAGCATCTGAATGGCCACTGTGAGAACATGTTACTGGACTAGTGGACCTTTGGCTTGATCCAGCAGGCTGTTCTTATTGTGTTCTTACCCACCCCCAGTTTAAAAATAGCGCTTGCCATACTTCGGTTTGAAGTGTGCGAAACATTCCCCAAAGCTTTGTTTTTCTATCGCCCCACACAATTTAGCCTGTACATGCGCTTATGAGAGAACATGCTTGATGGAAAGTACTTTTAATTTTATCAGCTTGCATTTCTGGTCCACGCCCATCCTAAAATGGGTTGAGTAACGGCACATTAAAAACATAACGTATCATTTAAATCCCATCTCTGTGTTAACAAGCTGTTTCTCTCCCCTCCCTACGCTATTCCTGCTAATGAGTCTTAATTCTTCGTAAGCCCCACTTCAAATACTTTCAAGTTCCTTTCTTGTTAAGACATCTCTTGGAGGATTTCTCCATTGCTGTTCATATATTTATTTACGAGCCATTTCTTGAAACGTCCCTTTTGTTGCCTGCCTTGGGAATGGTGTCTTATGGCTGAAGGCAGCCATCCTGTGCATAGTTACTTTGGAGTAAGCCCTACTGAGTACAGTGTCCATTAAAAAGGTAAAGGGACCCCTGACCATTAGGTCCAGTCATGGCCGACTCTGGGGTTGCGGCGCTCATCTCGCTTTATTGGCCGAGGGAACCGGCGTACAGCTTCCAGGTCATGTGGCCAGCATGACTAAGCTGCTTCTGGCAAACCAGAGCAGTGCACGGAAACGCCGTTTACCTTCCCACCGGAGTGGTACCTATTTATCTACTTGCACTTTGATGTGCTTTCAAACTGCTAGGTTGGCAGGAGCAGGGACCAAGCAATGGAAGCTCACCCCGTTGCGGGGATTCGAACCGCCGACCTTCTGATCGAAAAGCCCTAGGCTCTGTGGTTTAACCCACAGCGCCACCCGCGTCCCTACAGTGTCCATTACTTCTGTGCTATAATAAACCTCTGGCTAAGTTTTTCTCAAGAGTAGACTCACGAAAACTAATAGACCTAATTAATTTCCATCAGTTTCAATGGGTATACTCTTGAGTATGGCTAACATTGGGTACAGCCCTTCTTGGTTATGCAAGCCCCCATGCATTCATTTTCAATAAGCCAATCCCAAGCATAGATACCAGAATCTGTAGGGGCACATATTTCAAACAATCTAGACCTGATTCCTGATTCTTTGAAGTCTTTTTGTGTCCTGCTCTTTGACCCATCATTATTTAAGATCAGATTGGTTTCAATTCTGTAATTATCTGCCTTGAGCTGCATGTAGGACTGCAGGAGAAAATGGATTTTGCTACCATTTTAATCAGAAAGTACCTAATTCGCACTTCTCAAACCAATATGCGCACCAAAGCACGGCTAACCTTTGAAACAATCACTTCTCTGAATTTTGCGATGCGGTTTTCCAACCGTCCAATATGTACCAAAAAATGCATCTGTTGTGGGGAAATTGCATAAAAATGCATATGAGAGTGGAAATGATCTCCAAAACTGCACTGCATTAGGGGAAATTGCAAA